ACGTTTCCATTTCTTATAGAAGTTACTAAACACACCTCAACGTACATTGCTCATATATATTAATAAATACACATACCTACATTTGGTATGCAACTAAATATATATTTTATATATTTATTGTGTGTGTGTGTGTGTGTGTGAGAGAGAGAGAGAGAGAAGTGAGTAGCTACCTGTTGTAGAGGGATGATTAAAAAGTGTAAATTATTAGTGCTCAATCCTCTTTGGGTTCAAATCCTAGACTTATACCTGACTAAACTTGGCAAATGTTTTGTACATCTTATGTACAGTGATACTTAGCCTTTTTACTGCTCATTGCCTTGTGCCAGACTAAGCTAAGCTTAATAATATAAATCTATAATACTGTACCAGTTAGGAACTGTCAGAATTTAGTCACCTGATAAGAAAACTTTTACATTTTACATATTACTACCCTTGTCCCATAATAGTTGTTACATTTGTATACAGATTTCATACACAAAATGTAGCGATTATTATGGGACAGAGGTTGTGTAATAATATTATGTATTACTTCTGGCCATAACAGAATGAATGTAACGGCTATTATGGGATAGATGTTTTGCAAATTTCTCTTGAGGAATCTGCGAGCTACAGCCAATGCCACAATGAGCGGGACAGAGAAATCTGGTACTAATATGGCTCCTTGGTACAAGATCCTTTTTTTTTTTTTTTTTTTTTTTTAAATTGACTGTTCTACATGCGGAAGACGCCAAATTTTGTGGGTTCAACAGGAGAATTCAAGGCAGCACTCAGGCTAAGTCCAACGACCATGCGAGTATCAACAGGGTCAATCACGCCATCATCCCAAAGTCTGTAAATATTAAAAAAAAAACAACAAAAAAACAGTGTTTTAGAATGAAGCATCATTGAAACAAGTAAGAAGCACTGCTAACAATTGTGTAGATCAAAGGCCAGGCTCAAAAGATGGGATCTACAAATAACCTTTACCATGTTGGAATGAATATGCAAGGCATTTTACCTGATAAAGTGCATTCTACACGTTAATGCATATAGGACAGTAGGTGGTAAATAAATAGGCTGCATTTTATATGAGTTCATATATTTTCCATTTTAATTTTTTTCAGAATGAAGAAAATTTCTTTTACTGTTTTAAATTTTGGTTTTTATATGAAGGATTAACAAAACAAAGAGAAAATATAAAAGATAGACAAAATACAGTGTAACCCGGATATAAGAAATTTTCTCTGGTCCCAAATTAGAGCCTGTGTTAATGTATATATAAGAGAAACCCGGATATAAGAGACTTCTTCTCTGGTCCCAACAACTCTCTTATATCCGGGTTACACTGTATATAAAACAAAAAGTTAAAAAAAAAAAAAATGTAGAAAAGATGGAAAAAAAATAATGAGGGAGATTTATGGAAGCCATAAAAATGGTGTTAGTGAAATTGTCCTAATTATAGTTCCTTATGTTTAGACATTTTTATAGGCATTTATTTCACATATGATATGCCATATTATAATATAGTACCTTTTGAAAATCAAATCAATATTAAAGTGTCAACATTTACTTAGGTGTAAAAGGAAGTAAACAAAGTCTAAATTTTAAGGCAATTCTGAACAGAAAATGGTTTTATTTAAATACATAAACAATTCTCATTATAAAGAAGCCGTGAACAATAACAATGACTTGCTTAGAAAGATCACTAAAGACTAAATTAAATAATGAATAACAAAATGAGTCATTTTTTAAAGCTAAATATGCAAATTAGTTATCTTCATAAAGCAAAGTTGGGCATGATATAAGACACATGCTGTAGATAAATAAATTGTACATTCAGTTTATCATTAAAAAAAAAAACAAAAAACAATTTGTACAGTGATATATAGAGAAACACAAGCTAAGTTGGCCAAGATATAAAACAGACGCTGGCAGATAGAAATAAATTTATTTGATGTCATATTTCTGAGCTGTTACATAATATCAGTCCTCCTATATGGCTGTGAATGCTGAACAATCTCCTCATAGATGAAAAAGGGGTATGAACCAACAGAAATATGGTTCTACAGGAGGATGCTGAGAATACCATGAACCGAACATGCGGGCAAAGATGAGAAAATGGAAACAAGAAGGGCAGTTATACTTAACATTAGGAAGAGATAGTTGAAATTTCTCAGGCACATAATGAGGAGAGAAGGCTAGGAAAATTTGACACTCACAGAATGTATTGAAGGCAAGTAGGAAAGATGAAAACAATGCATAACCTACCTAGGGTGCTTACGTAAATGGATTGCGGAACATGGTTTAGGAGAGATGACAAAATTTATTAAGAACTACAAAGAGTGGGAAATTGTGGAGAGCCATGATTGCCCCACTTCCTGAAGGGACATGGCACACAGAAGAAGGAGCTTGTTATGTTATATATATCCCTGTGTGTGTGTGTGTGTGTGTGTGTGTGTGTGTGTGTATGTATATATATATATATATATATATATATATATATATATATGTGTGTGTGTGTGTGTAGAACAGGTTTTAGAAGTAATAAAAAAAGACAAAACATTAAGAGCTACAAAGGACGGGAAATTGCAGAGAGCCATGATCGAATACGTCTTGAAGGGAAACAGCAGATAGAAGAAGAATGACCTTGAGTAAATGGATGGCTGAATAAGGTTTAGGAGAAATAACAGAGAGGTAAAATTTATTAAGAGCTACAAAGGACAGGAAATTGTGGAGAGCCATGATCGCCTACATCCTGAAGGAATACAGCAGATAGAAGAAGAATGAGATTGAGTAAATGGATGGCAGAACAAGGTTTAGGAGAAATAACAAAAAGACAAAATTTATTAAGAGCTACAAAGGACAGGAAATCGTGGAGAGCCATGATCACCTACGTTCTGACGGGCCATAGCATGTAGAAGAAGAAAATATACAGTCATTTCTATCCAATATTTTTTATTAATTCACCTTATTTAAGTAATTACTTAATTATCTCCGAAGTGACTATCATCTTACAGATATCTGTATTGTTAAACTTCAGAAGAATCAGAGTTTACCAACTTGTGAGTTCTCTCCCTTGTTAAATGTCATCACTTGATGGTGTCTCATGTTTGAACTTACCTTGCACTGGAGTAATACGGACTTCCTTCTAATTCGTATTTTTCTATCACTGGCTTCTTTAATGCATTCTCTTCTTCCTCAGTCCACTGCATAAACAAATTAATAAAATAGAGAAAATAAAATGCAAAGCAATGCGAATACAAGATTGTGAAACATCAATTTAAGGAAATTATCCTTGAGGGGGGGCAGCTGCTACTTTCAGTTGAAATTAAAAAAAAAATTCTCTCCTACGAATATTTTTCAGGAAAACGAGTTTCTCAAATTCACTGTTACCAGTATTGGTGGGGAGGCGTGGGGGAGTCCCTTTATTTGGAGTAGTTGTAAAGTAAGTGGGCATTAATAATATCAAAAACGTGTCTATATTTACTGTGTTTACAAGAATTTGGCACTAAAATGAAACAAATGATATAGACAGAAAGAGACAGATATATAGGTTAATAAATACACATATACCTATGTTTGATGTGCAACTTGAATTTCATTGGTTACCTAATTTATTGGGTACAAAGTGATATCTTGTGGGTAACCAAGGAAATTTGAGTCGCACATCAAACATAGGTATATGTCACATGGACAAAGTCCTACAATTATTTTAAACATTTTTATATTTATACATTTTTTTTTATAGATATTTAAGTAAATGCTCTGTTTATAATAAAAAGTATTAACATTTACCAGCCTGAATATCCAAGAAAATTTTTGGGACGCATATTTTCTATGAAAATTTCTTGGACATTCAGGCCGGTAAATGTTAATACTGTTTATTATAAACAGAGCATTTATTTAAATACTTGTATCTATAAAAAGAATGTATAAACATAAAAAAGTCTTAAAATAATTGTTGGACTTTGTCCATTTCATAATGTGTGACGCCATTTGTTTACATTTGGATACGCATCGAGCAGATATGAATGTATGAGAAAATCATGGAAAATTGTAGTTTAAAAACAGTAAAATTGACCTTGCTAACCGAAACGCTCCTCTGTGGTGATATCGGTAAAAGCACGTCAAGCTATATGACGGTTCCGTATAGGATACAGGTTAGATTCCTGTTGGAGGATGAATATTTTCTATGAAAATTTCTCGGACATTCAGGCTGGCAAATGTTGTTAATACTGTTTATTATAAACAGAGCATTTACTTAAATATTTGTATCTATAAAAAAAGAATGTATAAACATAAAAATGTCTTAAAATATATATATATATATATATATAGATGTGTGTGTGTGTGTGTGTGTGTGTGTTTATTAATATATATTTCTTAGCTCTGTCTAATCACATTGAGCACTATTATGTCTACACTTCTTGGCTAAATTTGGTAATTATTTATCTGCCTAAGAGTGTATGCACACCAGCACACGTGTATATGGTCACTAATATCTAGTTATCTCATTTATATATATATATATATATATATATATATATATATATAAAAAAGGAAGAGGTTATAGTGGTTCCAATGAGAGAAAAGTGTGTATAATAAAAAGAGAAATCACAAACGTTTTTGGTTGCAATGTGGATTTTTTTTGGGTCACTAACACACACAAAAAGGAGAATGTCCCATATCTAGAATATTTAACATCGAAAAACAAAGGAAAAAACAAAAAAAAAAAATTAATTATTTTTAATAATATGTGAAAATCTCCACCCTTTGCCTGATGACGGTCACAAGACCGGAAACGCGCGTAGCAAAATTGTGGAAAATAAAGCATAATATTTAAAAAAAAAAAAAAAAAATCCACATTACAACCAAAAACGTTTGTGCTTTCTCTCTTTTCAATATATATATATATATATATATATATACACACACACACACACACACACAAAGTGGGATATTTAAAAAAAAAAAAAGGATGAAGGAAAGAAAAAGAATATAGGTGTATTTGGCTAGAGAGCAAAAATTCATACGAAAATTTTGAAACTACCATGATATCTCATTCATGCATATGTGTAGTCACAACAACATCAACAAAGCCAGACTGATGAAGTCCTAACACGTCAAAGAAACTTTAAAGGAATGAAAAGTTTGACAGAACAATGCCTGTATCTTTGGGCTGTCAAACATTTGTCATTTAATGTATGTTTCTCTCAGAATAAGCAATTTTGGCCACATGCCTTATGTTTTCAAAAGTATGTGGCATAATGCGAATAAAAAAATATCTTACGGGTTTTCCTTCTCGTCTTTTCTGTTCCCGAGTGATCTGTGCTAATACGTTAGCCGCTTGTTCTCCTCCCATTACAGAAATGCGGGCGCTTGGCCACATGTACAGAAAACGTGGACTAAAAAAAAAAAAAAAAAAAAAAAAAAAAAAAGACAAAAACACAAATTGTAATGTGTACCAGGGTAGAAAAGTTCAGAAATTTTAAATCTTAAAAATTGCCTCTTACAGAGTTTTCTTTTTAGTGCTGTAAAAAAAAAAAAACTTTTTAAGTAAGACTACTTAAGAATGAATTAAAAGAAATTTTGATGTTTGGTTAGATTTTGGGATGTGGGTTGGCCTGAGGACTCACTTCTTCACTCGTATATAAATATATTTATCTCCTTGCCAAACACGCACACACATTAATTATTGTTTAATTTTTTTTTTTTTTTTTAACCTGGAAAACCTTGATTCCAAATTGATGATTAGATCCTCGAGTGAGTTGAATTTAATAACTTTTCAGGATGAGGAGTTATCATTATTTACACTATTTACATGCTGACTATTGTCCTTATCTTTGTTGCTGTTATCATCCCAACATTTCGTTCTGAAGTGACCCTTTTATTTAAATCAGTTTACCATAGAGAATTTTCCTACAGGACAATGGCCTAGTGGATTAAAGTGTTGGTTTATGACAGTAATTGTGAGTTCAATCCCTGGGCTGGTCAATGTGTACTTGGACTCATAAATGTGCAGTACTAAAATTAAGAACTAGATGCAATATCCCTAGACATGGTCAGTGGAACAAAAACCGTCTAATCTGTAGATTAAAGGGTTCAATTCAAAGTTCCCTGTAGGTTACCCAGATCGATATACACCTGATGAAGATCATAGGGTACAATGGTTGAAATGTTGTGATAGCAACAACAAAGATAAGGACAACAGTCCAAATGAAAATAATGAGATTTTTTTCATTAACACTAATAAACAACAAAACAATTTCTTTATGAATTTTAAATAAACAGACGCCATTAACAATTTTTGGTGAGTTTTTTCTTCATTTTGTTGCCTTTCATTATTTCATCGTGTGCCATGTCCTTTCAGGACTTGGGCAATGATGGTTTTCCATAGCTTTACAATACATTTTCATCTATGACCACCCCCATCTTTGTTTTTGTGGTTCTTGAACCTTCACCCATTTGTTCACAGGAAGTCACTTATTGCTTTCCTCTCCTTCTCTTGCTGTGTCTTATCAGTGTTCATTTCTCCAAGCCTTCTTTCCTCAACACATGTACCAAAAATTTCAGCTCTCTATTTCTGATTTTTTTTTTTTTTTTTAATAAGCATTTCACCCAAAGCAAGGCGGGAAGCCACTAGCACGCAAGGGGTTACAGAGAGTTGGAGCGAGAGCAAATAGGAGTGATAGAGGAAAGGATGAAGAGAAGGATAGGGGATAGATCAGGGCATCTGGAGACGTCGATTGACATTACATTTGAATAGTTGGACATTATAGCCATCAGGGAAACAGGAAAAGGGGAGTTCCACAGGCAAGAAGTGCGAGACATGAAGTTATTGGAGTTGAAAGAGACGGCTATATTTAAAAGTTTCGACAGTGAAAGGGTGAGAGCGAGATGCCAGCCTAGTAGAACACTTAAATTCATGAAGTCTGGGAACCAGCGAAAGCAGCACATCGGAGCAGTTACTGTGAAAGTATTTGTAAAAATGACAGAGGGAGGCGATGGCACATCTGTGAGAGAGATTGTTAGCAACTGTGTCTACCTATTTCCTATAAAACTTTTTGAATTATTAGAAAATCAGTCGATGGAGTTTTTCATCATTTTGCTAATAGAAATAAACTCTTGTTATTTCAAGTGTTTCTTTCATTTGTAACAAAATTGTCAAACAATTTCATTTTTTACATTTTTTTTTTAATAGTGGAGTTCACCCTGTACAAGGCCCAAGAGTAACTCCAGGTAGAGAGTTACAGAGTAAGAGGCAACACCCCAAGTAAGGTGATAATATTACCATTATGGAAGGAGCCACTGGAAGCAAAAAAGAAAAAAAAAACATTAGAAGTCATGAGAAACCTAATCCTAAGCAGGAAACAAGGGATAAACCTCTACTACTGTTCAAAAAACTAGGGAAGTCTGTAAACTGGATAATAGGAAAACCTATTTACTATTGAGGAGAAAAATAAAAAAAAGTAAATAGTAAATAAAATTTCAGAGTCTTAGGTGAAGATGTTAGGAGTATACAGTAGAAGTAGATTTTAGAAGGAACTGGAAACCCACTCCTAGACAAGAAACAAGAGATAAATGTCTATTTCTGTTCAAAAGACTGGGGAGGAGTGTGAACTGGGAGAGAGGTGAATCTATCTACTCCTGTTGTGGAAAAAATAAAAATAAATAAAGAGAAAATAAAATTTCAGAGTTCAGGCAGAGACGGTAGAAGTATTGAGTTGAAGTAAATTTTAGAAGGAACCAGAAATCCAATCCTAATCAAGAAACAAGAGATAAACCACTGCTCCTGTCCAAAAAACTGGGTAGGAGTCTGAACTAGATGATAGGTAAACTTATCTACTCTTATTGAGAAAAATAAAAATAAATAGTAAATAGAATTTCTGAGTTCAGGCAGAGGTGATAGAAGTATAGATTGGAAGTAGACTTTAGAAGGAACTGGAAACACAATCCTCCTAAACAGGAATCAAGGGATAAACCTCTACTCCTGTTCAAAGGAAAAGGGAGGAGTGTGAACCGAGCGACAGGGGAACCTATCTATTCCTATTGAGGAAAAATAAAAATGAATAAACAGTAAATAGAATTTCAGAGTTCAAGTGGACACAATAGAATTAGAGAGTCGATGTTAGACATTAAATAGGAATTTGGCACATTTTTTCCTTGTTTTTAATGGTAATCAGTGCTTTAATCTACTAATCTTTTGTGGCATAGGGATTGTGAGTTCAATCCCTGGGTCTGGTAGTATAGTCTCAGACTGTGGAAACAGGACTAGATGAGATACCTCAAATTTTAAATTGATCCCTCGATTTATTTAATCTATGGAGGATAGATTGTTCTCATTCCACTGTCTATATCTTATTTTCTCCTTAGAGAAAAAAAAAAAAGAAAGAAAGAAAAGAGGAGATCATGTTGTTCAGGGTGAAATGATGAAAAAAAAGAAAAAAAGAAGGGTGGGTAGGGGTGAAAATGAGCGTTGAAAGCTTACCTGTATGCTCGGCCACACATACCATAATTGCCGGCACCATAGCTTCCTCCAATGACCACTGTAATTTTGGGCACTTTGGCACAGGCGACTGCAGTCACCATTTTGGCACCATTTTTGGCAATACCTCCAGCTTCAGCTTCACGACCCACCATGAAACCTTAAATTAAATTTTTATTCTGTTGAAAGCATAAAAGAGGTGAAAAGCTCAGTAAAAAGAAAAAAATTTAAGAGGTGAAGAGCTCAGTAAAAAAAAAATGTAAGAGGTGAAGAGCTCAGTAAAAAAAAATGTAAGAGGTGAAGAGCTCAGTAAAAAAAAAAAAAAAATGAGGTGAAGAGCTCAGTAAAAAAAAATGTAAAATGTAAGAGGTGAAGAGCTCAGTAAAAAAAAAAAAAATGTAAGAGGTGAAGAGCTAGTAAAAAAAAAATGAAAGGTGAAGAGCTCAGTAAAAAAAAAATGTAAGAGGTGAAGAGCTCAGTAAAAAAAAAAAAAGATGTAAGAAAGAGCTCAGTAAAAAAAAAAAATGCTGAAGAGCTCAAAAAAAAAAAAAATGTAAATGAAGAGCTCAGTAAAAAAAAAAAAAATGTATGAGGTGAAGAGCTCAAGAAAACATGTTCATCAGAGAATGAAATATGGAGGAGGAGAATATATACTATAATAAAAATAATTGGGGTGAAAAAAAAATGAAAATGCATATTTGATAATTAAAAAAAATAATTAAGGAAGAATGTCAAGTTCTGCAGACAGAATTGTACCTGTGATGTTCTGTAAAAAGAGGAGTGGAATCCCTCGCTGGCAGCAGAGTTCAATAAAATGTGTTGCCTGTAGGAGATAAAATAAATTGTGATATATATCAATGACAATAGCAATATTCTGTTTATGTTATTTTTAGTGGATACCCATATGTGAGTAGATGTTCCATTTTATTTCCAACAGTATTCATTCCATCTGTTGGCGTATAGACTCTGGAAAACTTTGAGGTAATAAAAATATGTCAGATTAAGAAATTTTTTAAAGTTTTCTTAAGTGTAGATGAAATAAATACAGAATAAAATAAAGTGTTTACTTAAATATGGGCCTCCATTAAAAATAAAAATTAAAAATATGGGCCTCCATTAAAAATAAAAATTAAAAATATGGGCCTCCATTAAAAATAAAAATTAAAAATATGGGCCTCCATTAAAAATAAAAATTAAAAATATGGGCCTCCATTAAAATAAAAATTAAAAATATGGGCCTCCATTAAAAATAAAAATTAAAAATATGGGCCTCCATTAAAAATACTGTTTGAAGTAATAAAAGTATGTTGGATTAATTCTTTAAAAATTGCTTTGTTTATGTTTCAGATTATTTTCTTTTTTAATCACTCTGCCCCAAGCAAGGTGATAAATGCCTCTAAGATGCAAGGGGCTACTGGGAGTGAAAGTAAATGAAAAGATTTTAGAAGGAACCAGAAACCTAAACAGGAAATAAGGGATAAACCTCTACTCGTGTTCAAATGACTGAGGAGGAGTGTGAACCAGATGGTAGGCGGACTTATCTACTTCCATTAAATATGCCGTTTTGACAGTGTCCTTTAAAAGCAATTACAACCTTGCTTGATTAAACACTTTTCATATCAGAAGTGTCGCATGCTGGATCAGACTGCTATGGGTTGAAATTTTCAAGGTTGCAGGTTCAACACTTAAAAGAAAGCCTTCCTGGAAGACCTCTAACTTCCAGGTGATGGAAACTTTAGAAATTATCAACGATAGTGTATGCCGAATAAAAGCCACCATTTGGAATATGTCATTCTTAAAACCAAACAGTGTAGATTTTTCTTTAAACAACAGTGAAATAAATTCTTATAATAGCAGATTTACCTTGGCCTTTTGTCTAACTTTAAAATATGGGAATTTTTTCTGCTGCACACTGTATCATCATATTTTGGTAAAGTCCTGACCAACCACTACCAATAGCTTGAAGAAAAGGTGTTCCAATAACTTGGACTGATTTTAAATGTGAATTAAGTTTAAGTGTCTAATGATATTTTCACACATAATTGCCATGACTTAAATAACATGATCCAATAGAGAAAGAAATAAATTTTCACCAATAACACTGATTTATTTACTGCTGACTTGGATGAAATAAGCTTTATAGAGATATAGACAGAGAGAGAGATACAGAGATAGATAGATAGACAGACAGAGATAGACAGACAGACAGACAGAGACAGATAGACAGACAGAGATAGACAGACAGAGACAGACAGACAGACAGAGACAGATAGACAGACAGAGACAGACAGACAGACAGACAGAGACAGACAGACAGACAGACAGACAGAGACAGATAGACAGACAGAGACAGACAGACAGACAGAGAGACAGACAGAGACAGAGATAGACAGAGACAGACAGAGAGACAGAGATAGACAGACAGACAGAGACAGAGATAGACAGACAGAGACAGAGATAGACAGACAGACAGACAGACAGAGACAGACAGACAGACAGAGACAGATAGACAGACAGAGACAGACAGAGACAGACAGACAGAGACAGACAGACAGACAGAGACAGACACAGACAGACAGACATAGACAGACAGAGACAGACAGAGAGACAGAGACAGACAGAGAGACAGATAGACAGACAGAGACAGACAGACAGAGACAGACAGACAGACAGACAGACAGAGACAGAGATAGACAGACAGACAGATAGATAGATAGATAGACAGAGATAGATAGATAGATAGACAGAGATAGATAGATAGACAGAGATAGATAGATAGATAGACAGAGATAGATAGATAGACAGAGAGACAGAGATAGATAGATAGACAGAGAGACAGAGATAGATAGATAGACAGAGAGACAGAGATAGATAGATAGATAGACAGAGAGAGAGAGATAGATAGATAGACAGAGAGAGAGAGATAGATAGATAGATAGACAGAGAGACAGAGATAGATAGATTTTGAAAGTGTTTTTTGAATCAAAGAGTCATTTACCTTTAATGCAGATTCAGAAAATAAGACACCATTGTTACCCAGGATTCCAATAGGATATCCCCAAAGACGAGCAAATCCTGTAAATAAAGAAAAAGAATTGCATTCATTAAAATGTTCTAAAACAGTTTTTATTTTATCTTAAAATATTTACACAAGCAATTTAAAAATAACAAAATTCCCTGAGAACGCAAAGATTTGTCTTGCAAGTACCACTGGGCGGCCCAACTATATATAAATTTCATTTTTCTTCTTATTTTAATAATTAACCCCTTACCTGCCATGAGCCTCATTTGGAGATCTGTTAAAATTAAACTCATTACATGTTATTCCTTGTATTTACATTGAATTGTTTACATAAACTGCATTTGCAGAGGTATATATTTTACAACACTTAGCCTTTAAAGTTTTTATTATTCGCCGTAAGAAGACACTTTCTGTCGTAGTTTTACATTTTACGAGTAAAAAAAATAATGACTATTTTGAAAAGGATTTTTTTATTATTTCTAATCAATATTATTTTTGATGTTTTATACACATATATATTTGATGTTCTAGTTTCTATAAAAACGACAATGGTAACTACTGAAATGAAACATAAGGAATAAATAAACTCCTAAGATACCGGTATGGGCCAAAAATGCGCATTAAAAAAATTTGGCAGTTAATGGGTTTTAATAATCTTCACTCTTACACTTCTACATTGTTATAACATTGTTACTTGGCTGTGCTGGCCCAGTTTTGGGGAAAAAACAGAAAATTAACATTTACTGGAAATAAATGGCTATAAAAGACACTGATGGTGATTAATGCCATTTTTGGTTTTTGAGTGAATACTCTCCAGTACAGACCAAACTAAACAACACTCCTGACACACAACATTGGCTTACAACCACATCAAAACACCAGTTCCTGCTCAATCACCAAAGTTAAGCAATGTTGAGTCTGGTTGGTACGTAAATGGGTGCTGTAAGCCTAGATGTGTGGGTGGATAATGGTTTGGAATTGTTAATCAGAAAGCAAAATTCCAATTCCCATCGAAGTTGTTATATTCACTTATGTGCGAATATCCTTGGGAAAGGTATGAATCTACCTCATCTGCCCCCAGCTATGGGTTAATTAGTAAGATTTGTATCACTAAATCATTTAAAAAAAATTTCTTAAAATGTTAAACTATTTTCTGACTAACTTACAAAGGGTTGATATGCTGTAGAAAATCAATCAGTGACACACAATGTAACAAAACCATATCACAAAACGGGTTGTACTGTATGTTACCATATGTCTACGCTGGTTAGAAAATTATCTGCTAGGTAGTTTATAATGCAAACATTAGGGCCTGTCATCTCTCAGGGTCTTGAAAAGGTATATCTATGTCTACAGCATGCAGGCAATGTAATTTTCACAAAGAGGTATAAGTCTATCCACAGCAGCCGAAGTATTAATGATCTTAGAGTGGCAGTGTTCACAATTCTTATATTATGATGCAACAGGAAATCTATCTCTTGTTATGAAAATGTTATTTTAAACAGATAATTAGAATGTAAAATAATGTGATTAATAATTTGGTTTGAAAAAACAAAAACAAAATGGCTAATATTAATGCAATATTTTATGCATATTCATATGGGTTAAATAATATCAATGAGAGTCTGAATATTCCTGGGTATGATGATAAACTACATCTGGCAGCAAGGCCTCTGATCAGTTTTGAGAAGTGTGGAACCACCTCTTAATTGCTGTTGTTCCCAGATCCACCCTGACCTGGGGTGGTAGCAACTGGTTTTTATACATTTTTATAGAAAAAGAAATTATCAACAATATCTATCTATAGCAGAATTATCAACAATACCTATTTATCTGTATTTTGAGCCACAAAATTGTGTTCAAAATATTTAGATTTCAGCATTAAATAACCCAAAGAGGTTGATATGTCGCTAAACAAAATCAACCTAAGTTTGAAAGGTATTTTTTATTGCTTTTTTTTTTTTTACTTTTATGTCTGAAAAAAAAAAAAAAAATCATCGCTATTTGAGTTTTGTTTTCTTTTGGTCAGAAAATGTAAAAAGGTGAAGATTTAAACCTTATCAGTAACTCTGGTTTTGCATTAAAAAAAAAAAAAATACATAACCAAAGTTTAAAGAAAGGTCTCGAGAGCCACTCAAAGTAGATTGAGTGATTTTTTTTTTTTTTAATGACTAATCAACCGTTTGTGAGTTATTTAAAACCAAAACATATTTTGGAATGTAGGTGGTGTTCCCAAGCAGTCTCCCATCTAAGTACTGATTGAACTCAATGCTGCTTAACTTTCGTGATGGAATGAGTACCAAGCTTTTCAGTGTGATTTGACCCTAGGCTCTCAAGGTAGAGGGTTGCCGTTAAAATAACAATAATGAAGGTGTTCTTTGATACAAATGAAAGAGGATGTGTCAGGAAGTGAAGATTATGAAATTGAAGAGAAAAATGATTGACCCTGTTTAAGATCATAGTGATTGGAGAAGTACCTATGTAGGAGCCGGTTCTACTAAGTGGAAGTTCTTGGAAAAAAAAGCTGAGTGGAACTCTCTCCTTACATTTTGAACATGGGGTAAATGAGGCTGATTTGACTCTGAAAGTGGTATAGGGTGTCCTTGCAATAAAGGTCCGAACTGCTGATACTAAAGAATGGAGGTTATCTGAAGATTTGCTGTGGAAATAATAGTATAGCGATGGGCTTATAATGTGGTGCTTGTAGGGAAGAAGTTGCAGAAAGGAAAATAAGGCTGCAAAAATGATTTTGAATCCTATCAAGGCTAGAAAAGGAGGATTGTGCAGCTCTATCCAAGACATGGCAGCAATACTTCCGTTTTGATCTTGTCCGACTCTTGTAACGATAAAGTATAGCAGAAGGATCCAAACACTCCCTGAAGCAATAAAATGAGCCAACAATTTTCCAAGCATTCTTTTGCAAGTTACTGAAAACTAGAAAATATTTTTAGATTGTAAGAATTAGAAGTGGGGGGAGATAATAATGTTATAGTGATACAAGTTTTACTAATTAACCCATAGATGGGAGAGGGGAAGGGGTGGATTCAGATCTTTCCCAAGGGTATTTGCTTGTATGTGAATACAACGAACCCAACAGAAAGTTGAATTTGATTTTCGATTAACAATTCCAAACCACCCGCACATCCAAGCTTACAGCACCTGGTATTCCCAAAGAGTCACCCATCTAGGTACTGACCAGGTTTATAGTTGCTTAACTTTAGTGATCAGGCTGGAACTGTTGTTTCAACTTGATGTGGCTGTAAGCAATATGTTAAAAGTCATGCTGACTCAATGTCTAGAATTTGGAGTGAGAAGCAATCAAATTCAGGATTTTGCGTAACATAGCGCAACTTTATTGGAAATTCTTTGAGACTATTCTTCATTTTTGGCACTCACTGATCTTAGATGAATCTCAAAGTTGGTACCATATGATTGTAGCTCCAGTGGTCTTTTCTTTCAGTTAGTCATTAGTGTCTATAAAAAAAAAATTACCTGTCACAACCGATTCTCCATACATGGCCTTAAATTCATCAAATCGACTTCCATCAACAATTCTTGCAATCACCTGTGAGAAGGAAATAAAACATGATGTAAGGGAAAGGAAAAAAAATAAAGAGAAAACAATCCTAGACATGTCTGTTCCGTGTTAGTGTGAGAAAACAAACACACACCTGGCTAATGCATGGGGGGGTTGAGAAAAAAAGGTGCCGTATACTTAGCCTATGACTAAAGGGCATGGAGTCGGTTTGTAAGTATTTTGAAATCTTGAAACTACTTTTTGTGTACATGCATAGATGTGGCAATTTCAACAAAGCCCAGTCCGATGAAATCCTAACGGATGAAACACGTCACAAAAAAAAAAAAAAAAAAAAAAAAAAAAAAAAAAAAAAAAAAAAAAAAAAAAAAAAAAAAAAAAAAAAAAAAAAAAAAAAAAAAAAAAAAAAAAAAAAAAAAAAAAAACCAAAAAAAAAAACCCTTTCTAGTTTTTCATATTTTATAATACCCTTACTTTTATTCTCTTTCCTCTTCTTCACATCCGCCCCCTCCTCCTTTTATATTATTACACCCACCCAATGTTGTGCATTTGTTTATTTTCTTTTCATTTTTTAATTACTATCATGTTCATTAGTTCTTTTTTTAAAAAAATAAAGTGTTAAGTCATTTGATAAAAATCACTTAAGGATATCGTAAGGTTGAAACCGAGGCAGCGGATTCAACTGATCTCCTGACTTTTAAAGTTAAAAGCTCTACATGTTATTTTTATCACGTGTATTGAGCACTTTTTAATACTACTGTTTCCTGGTCTGATTAAAGTCTACTATTAACATTATATATATATATATATATATATATATATATATATATATATATACACACACATATATACATACACACCACAATTTTTGTAAATTTACAAGAATAAATATTCATTCTTAATAGGTCTTGGGAACAAACAAATATATATATTTGTTTGTTCCAAGACCTATTAAGAATTAATTAGGAATTAATATTTATTATTTATACAAATGTGTTGTATGTTAAATAAAGGCAAAATTTGCCTTAGATCCAAGCTTCCTACTTGTGTGTGTAGCTTTTCTTTTCTTTATGGCTTATAATACTTTTTCACATTATTTACATTTGTCTGGCTGTTGTCTTCATCTTTGTTGTCATATTCACAATGTTTCGGCTGTTGTACAGTTCAGCCTTGATCTGAGAAAGAGAGAGAGAGGATGGGGTTGCAAACATTGAATGGCAACCTTCCTAGAGATGGTGGCTCAACTAAAACAATCTGTATACTTGGACAACTGTGAATGTCTGAACAGAGCATCTGAAAGTGTAAAAACTTGCCTCAAATCATTATGAGAAATCATTTATCAGGTTTATAATAAACAGTATTAAAAAACATTTACCGGCCTGAATGTCCGAGAAATTTTCATAGAATATATTCGTCCTCCTTCTATGAAAATTTCTCAAACATTCAGGCTGGTAAATGTTGTTTAATGCTGTTTATTATAAACAGAGCATTTACTTAAATATTTGTATCTATAAAAGGAATGTTAAGCATAAAAATGTCTTAAAATAATTGTTGGACTTTGTCCATTTCATAATATATATATATATATATATATATATATATATATATATATATATATATATATATATATATATATATACTTACTGACCCAAAAAGAATAGAAATGAATGTTTATAGTCAGAGAGCTCCAAGAAAATTAGAAGGTACGAACCTCTCTAACATCAAACGTCCTTTTCAGATTGTCGCCTACAATTCCATACAATTCATCTGCCGGATGAATAGGTTCTTCAACTTCATTAATTGTTACCTGGAAATAAAATAACATTGAATTAAATTTAAAAACATGCAAGAAATTTGCTTTCTAATTTAACTGTTTCAAATGCCATAAGAAAAATGAGAAAACTTGGCAACTTAAAAAATTTTATAACTTAAAAAAAAAAAAAAAAAAAAAAAGATACAAGTCCTATTATTTAACCCATAGCTGGAGGAAGAAGGGATGGATTCATACCTTTTCCAAGGGTATTTGCATGTAAGCAAAATGTTCTAGACATAAGACAGTGGTGATGATCATTGATATATAGAAGAAAGGGTATTAATCAAGGAGGAAGCCTAACAAGGGAAGAGGAAATAATGAGTCCCTGGCATTTCAATCAAGATGTTGTAGTGTAATCCTTTACCCACTTTACCCCATTATTTACCCTATAGGTGGGGGGGGGGAGACAAAGAAGCATACCTTCTCCAAGGGCATCAGTATGAAGGTAAATGCGGCATATCTGTTACACTTGCTGCACATCCTCTTTCCAGTTTCAATTTTCCCACCCAACCCCCTAATCTATAAACTTCTATTGTATCTGGTGCCACTAAGATGGTAAAACTATGATACTAAATCCCCTTACTAAAATTGCTAGCTGAAGAGGTCAAGTGTCACTTGATCAGTCTTTCTTTTTATTTATTTATTTACATATTACTTCCTTTCACTTCACTCAAGTGGGTTGCCAGCTTTGAACCCTAGACTTCAATAAACCATCTTCCGGCTGTTAAACCCTCCCCACTCCAACAACTCTTGATCCTGATAGCATCATTTCACATCCTCTTGACTTTGTATGCATTGAGCCACAGTACTAACTTAACCCCCTCTCCTGGATTTACTGACATAATTGGTGATGAAAAAAAATGGGGGGTGACAAATATATAATTGGAATAAAGAATGAAAATATCTCCAAAGAAGAAATGATTTATTTTTAACTTACATTTGGTTTTTTCTCATAGTTTAAGTTGCTGATAATCCTCCGTGCAATTGTAAGTGCATGTTCATCATCGTGGGCATAGTGATCGGTTACTCCTGATTTGCTGGGGGAGGGGGAAAATAAAAAAGAAGATATTTTAAAAATTTATTTTAATATTCTATTGTGATATAAACAGAAATAAAATACACTTTAATTCTGTAACAGTCATGCAACCATTTTTTTTGCCCAATGTATCCTTTTCACCATAAGCCAGAATATAATCCCCCACTTTTCCAAGATCATCCAACTCAAAATGTTCATTCCAAATAATATGCATATATGACTGAAAATCTTAATCCCCCCCCCCATTTTAGTACATATACAAGGATTATTTTTATAGAGGAATTTAAAAATTTTTTTTTTTTTTTTTTTTTACAAACACATCAACATTTTCTATTGCTATTAAGCAATAGAAAATATCAATGGATTTTTAAACTTGAATCCATGTACAGTAATTTGTTTTAATTCATAACCAATTATAAAATAAATAAACTGAAGGATACTTCAATAAACAAAAAGTTCAGTAGAATATCAGGATATTGGAATTCAATAAAATTCTGTAAATGAAGAATAATTAAAAGACCCCCAGCGAGTCTTCAACTGCAGATTTCTTTAATTCATTATCTATGAATTGCCATGACTTTTTGGGAAAGCTAGTGGAGTGGTTTCCCATTGCCTTCTCCACAGATTCCTTTTCTTTATAAACTGGGAATTACCATGGCTTCTTAGAAAATATAGTTGAGTGGTATCCTATTGCCTTCTCTAGTTTTCAGTCTAGAATGTTCCTTCTCCAAAACTTTCAGCTTTCCAAAGAATACCAGTATGTAGACAACAGAAGATTGCCTACTACACAGACACCAACATTTGTGCTTGAAAATGACTGAGATGGTTGAAAGTAGTTGAACAAAACAACACAACATGAACTTTAAACAGTTTATCTACAATTTTGATCACACATTATTAAAAAATTAGAAAAATACAATAAGAAATTAGACAGACAGACCATGTCGGATGTTTTTAATCAATGTTTAGATGAATACTTGCAACCTAAATATACCTTTATATATATATATATAAATAAATAAATATATATATATATATAGATAGAGAGAGAGAGAGAAAGAGAGAGAAAGACATGGTGGAGTAATGAATAGCGGCTTGGATTGAGGAATCTGAGAGTTTAGTTCGAATTCCAGTTGAATCCATTACATCCATTTACGTGCTAATACCCTTGGGAAAGGTGTGAATCCTCTTCTCCCTCCAGCTATGGGTAAAATAGCAGGACAGATTGGGTTCTATAGCCTTGGATGGCAAGTGGTCTAGGAGAAGGACAACTCTGAATTCTGTGGAGGGTCGTTTGGAGACCTTGTGGCACTTAGTGCACCAGGTCTCTGTATTCGTCCCTTCAAAAAGAGTGGATGGTCCTGCACGAAACCTTCACCACTATAATCAAATCTTATGTGCTGTTGTCGGGCTGTTGGTTTCCTAGGAACTGATCTGCTTGACCCTCATACGTCGAATTCGACAGGAGAGTCGAGTATATATATATATATATATAAAAATGTGTATTTGGGCAGCAATCCCTCTTTTATACAAGTTTAATTGAAGACAATTTACTTAGAAACATTAAAAAGTACACAACCCCAGTTTACCAGAACAAGTTAATTATCCATTTCAAAAAGTTGTAATAATGGTCAAGTGTATCGTCAACAATAACAACTCACCTACAAGATCCTAAGTACATAGGATCAACATTATTTATGAATTCACATGCCCCCCTGACGAAGACGAATTCATGAATAATAATTACATTGGACATAACTACATGCTTACTTGGCATCTATCAGGTTAGGACCCATTTAAACACACAACTACCTGCTAACCTCTGCCTGTAACATACAATCATAATACCCCCCCCCAAAAAAAACAGGTGTGTTAATAAAAAAAAAAAACTACATCAACTATGACTATGAACATGGTCACAATATGCTGACCATGTTCAGAAATTAAACCCATTCCTATCTCTCTCTCTCATATATATATATATATATATATATATATATATATATATATATATATATATATATAAAATATATATGATCCAAAAAGATCCTGATAATAGTTATGAGATCATAGATTATTTGAATAGTTTTTACACTGTCCAGAAAGAAAATACTTGTACAAATGCAACAAAAATTTAATAAAAAGCTCAATTGCAATACCTTGTCAGTTGCAACCAAAGAAACATATATATTACATAGAAACACTATGAAAAAACCCCCTATATATATATATATATATATATATATATATATATATATATATATATATATATATATATATATATTATATATAAAGTACAAGATCTGAAAGAAGGAACATGTAACCTTTATTATTTTCTTTTGGCTAATTATTCTGACACAATAAGATAAAGCACAGATGCAAAAGAAACTTAGACTTACCCACAATGCAAATCTGCTCCTCCAAGATTTTCTGCTGATACTTCTTCACCTGTGGCTGCTTTTACCTGCAAGGAAAAAAATACATTAGAGCGTTAAAATATTACCTGTAAGAAAAGAAAAATAAAAAAAGGGTGGGAAAGTCTGAGAATTGTTCATTTTTATGATGTTGGTAGAAATCCTAGTATGTATACATAGGATTTGTCTGTAAATTTGGGAAGGGGGGAGGGGACTTTACATTTATCTTTTAATAGTTTGATAGATGAGATGTTCAAAGAAAAGCTACAACTGGTTCCAATAACTTACATCACATGGATCCGTTGAAAGCAGAAATCCAAGTGTTGAAGGCTAAAACATAACTAAATACAGACCTGGTTATGTTACACTTTGTGTATCATTCTACACAATTTGGAGTCCTAGTACACTTAAAATTTTGAATTACAAACTTTAATTCTTACTGTTGCACTTTTCAGCTATCTAGACTACTCATGGTTTGTGAATGTCACAAAAATTTCCTGTGAAGTATAATGGTTTTAATGAACAGGACTACAAATAGATATTTTCACAAAATGACTACCCGTTTTAGCTACCCCTATTACTCACGGCTTTCATTGCAAATGGCACAGAACACAGTGGTGTTAACATTTTTTTCAGTTCATCTAGTTTAACATTCAGTCCCTCTTCCAATTTTGATATCTCTATGGATTTGTACTTTGTAGGCATTGGACTTTGCGATGAGTGTGAAGATATGAAGAGAAAGCTGAGCAGACTCCTAACTGTCAGAGAAAATCTTGTGTGCAACTTTCAGATTTCTTTAATTTCCGTTTTTGTCCATCTGCTTCTTCCTGCCTTTTTTTTTTCTCCTCAATCTCAAGATATTGGTTGTTTGCTGTTCTGGCATTGGAAGCACTACAGAGAAGAGCTTTAGTCATGGAAACATTCCCAACACCACCAACTGTGGCTAAATAGTCTGTGATAATACAACTGTGCAACCACAGCCTGCTGTTTCATATAGTCAATGACTGAGAAACCTTTCGCCATGTGAGAGTACCAGCAAACTGTGAACAACTTTCAACAGTTTTGGATATTCTTTGTTGCTAGACAAAGTGTTCAGATGGTCTTCATGCTTGCTGAAATTCTTGAAAGCAATATTTCCAAACCTAGTTCAATGTCTTTTGAAACAGACACAAAAATCTGCAGCTTCACTTGAAATAAAACGTCATTACACATAGAGGAGTAGAAACTCAAGTCATTCTTTAAACAAATACAGTGTAACCCGGATATAAGAGAAACCCCGATATAAGAGAGATTGTCTCTGCTCCCAAATTAGAGCCTGTGTTAATGTATATAAGATAGACCAAACCCGGATATAAGAGAAACCCCGATATAAGAGAGATTGTCTCTGCTCCCAAATTAGAGCCTGTGTTAATGTATATAAGATAGACCAAACCCGGATATAAGAGAAACCCCGATATAAGAGAGATTGTCTCTGCTCCCAAATTAGAGCCTGTGTTAATGTATATAAGATAGACCAAACCCGGATATAAGAGAAACCCCGATATAAGAGAGATTGTCTCTGCTCCCAAATTAGAGCCTGTGTTAATGTATATAAGATAGACCAAACCCGGATATAAGAGAAACCCCGATATAAGAGAGATTGTCTCTGCTCCCAAATTAGAGCCTGTGTTAATGTATATAAGATAGACCAAACCCGGATATAAGAGAAACCCCGATATAAGAGAGATTGTCTCTGCTCCCAAATTAGAGCCTGTGTTAATGTATATAAGATAGACCAAACCCGGATATAAGAGAAACCCCGATATAAGAGAGATTGTCTCTGCTCCCAAATTAGAGCCTGTGTTAAATATAAGATAGACCAAACCCGGATATAAGAGAAACCCCGATAAAGAGTTGTCTCTGCTCCCATATTAGAGCCTGTGTTAATGTATATAAGATAGACCAAACCCGGATATAAGAGAAACCCCTGATATAGAGAGATTGTCTCTGCTCCCCAAATTAGAGCCTGTGTTAATATAAGATAGACCAAACCCGGATATAAGAGAAACCCCGATTAAGAGAGATTGTCTCTGCTCCCAAATTAGAGCCTGTGTTAATGTATATAAGATAGACCAAACCCGGATATAAGAGAAACCCCGATATAAGAGAGATTGTCTCTGCTCCCAAATTAGAGCCTGTGTTAATGTATATAAGATAGACCAAACCCGATATAAGAGAAACCCCGATATAAGAGAGATTGTCTCTGCTCCCAAATTAGAGCCTGTGTTAATGTATATAAGATAGACCAAACCCGGATATAAGAGAAACCCCGATATAAGAGAGATTGTCTCTGCTCCCAAATTAGAGCCTGTGTTAATGTATATAAGATAGACCAAACCCCGATATAAGAGAAACCCCGATATAAGAGAGATTGTCTCTGCTCCCAAATTAGAGCCTGTGTTAATGTATATAAGATAGACCAAACCCGGATATAAGAGAAACCCCGATATAAGAGAGATTGTCTCTGCTCCCAAATTAGAGCCTGTGTTAATGTATATAAGATAGACCAAACCCGGATATAAGAGAAACCCCGATATAAGAGAGATTGTCTCTGCTCCCAAATTAGAGCCTGTGTTAATGTATATAAGATAGACCAAACCCGATATAAGAGAAACCCCGATATAAGAGAGATTGTCTCTGCTCCCAAATTAGAGCCTGTGTTAATGTATATAAGATAGACCAAACCCGGATATAAGAGAAACCCCGATATAAGAGAGATTGTCTCTGCTCCCAAATTAGAGCCTGTGTTAATGAGTATATAAGATAGACCAAACCCCGATATAAGAGAAACCCCGATATAAGAGAGATTGTCTCTGCTCCCAAATTAGAGCCTGTGTTAATGTATATAAGATAGACCAAACCCGATATAAGAGAAACCCCGAAAAGAGAGATTGTCTCTGCTCCCAAATTAGAGCCTGTGTTAATGTATATAAGATAGACCAAACCCCGATATAAGAGAAACCCCGATATAAGAGAGATTGTCTCTGCTCCCAAATTAGAGCCTGTGTTAATGTATATAAGATAGACCCGGATAAAGAGAAACCCCGATATAAGAGAAACCCCGATTGTCTCTGCTCCCAAATTAGAGCCTGTGTTAATGTATATAAGATAGACCAAACCCCGATATAAGAGAAACCCCGATATAAGAGAGATTGTCTCTGCTCCCAAATTAGAGCCTGTGTTAATGTATATAAGATAGACCAAACCCCGATATAAGAGAAACCCCGATATAAGAGAGATTGTCTCTGCTCCCAAATTAGAGCCTGTGTTAATGTATATAAGATAGACCAAACCCGGATATAAGAGAAACCCCGATATAAGAGAGATTGTCTCTGCTCCCAAATTAGAGCCTGTGTTAATGTATATAAGATAGAAAACCCGATATACCAAAAACCCCGATATAAGAGAAAATGTATATAAGATAGACCAAACCCGATATAAGAGAGATTGTCTCTGCTCCCAAATTAGAGCCTGTGTTAATGTATATAAGATAGACCAAACCCGGATATAAGAGAAACCCCTCCCAAATTAGATATAAGAGACCAAACCCGGATTGTCTCTGCTCCCAAATTAGAGCCTGTGTTAATGTATATAAGATAGACCAAACCCGGATATAAGAGAAACCCCGATATAAGAGAGATTGTCTCTGCTCCCAAATTAGAGCCTGTGTTAATGTATATAAGATAGACCAAACCCGGATATAAGAGAAACCCCGATATAAGAGAGATTGTCTCTGCTCCCCAAATTAGAGCCTGTGTTAATGTATATAAGATAGACCAAACCCGGATATAAGAGAAACCCCGATATAAGAGAGATTGTCTCTGCTCCCAAATTAGAGCCTGTGTTAAGATTGTCTCTGCTCCCAAATATATGTAATAAGATAGACCAAACCCGGATATAAGAGAAACCCCGATATAAGAGAGATTGTCTCTGCTCCCAAATTAGAGCCTGTGTTAATGTATATAAATAGACCAAACCCGGATATAAGAGAAACCCCCGATATAAGAGAGATTTCTCTGGTCCCAAATTAGAGCCTGTGTTAATGTATATAAAATAGACCAAACCCGGATATAAGAGAAACCCGGATATAAGAGATTTTCTCTGTATATAAGATAGGGATATCCCAAATATAAGAGCCTGTGTTAGAGCCTGTATATATAAGATAGACCAAACCCGGATATAAGAGAAACCCCGATATAAGAGAGATTGTCTCTGCTCCCAAATTAGAGCCTGGTTAATGTATATAAAATAGACCAAACCCGGATATAAGAGAAACCCGGATATAAGAGATTTTCTCTGCTCCCAAATTAGAGCCTGTGTTAATGTATATAAGATAGACCAAACCCGGATATAAGAGAAACCCCGATATAAGAGAGAGATTGTCTCTGGTCCCAAATTAGAGCCTGTGTTAATGTATATAAAATAGACCAATCCCGGATATAAGAGAAACCCGGATATAAGAGAGATTTTCTCTGGTCCCAAATTAGAGCCTGTGTTAATGTATATAAAATAGACCAATCCCGGATATAAGAGAAACCCGATATAAGAGAGATTTTCTGGTCCCAAATTAGAGCCTGTGTTAATGTATATAAAATAGACCAAACCCGGATATTAGAGAAACCCGGATATAAGAGAGATTTTCTCTGGTCCCAAATTAGAGCCTGTGTTAATGTATATAAAATAGACCAAACCCGGATATAAGAGAAACCCGGATATAAGAGAGATTTTCTCTGGTCCCAAATTAGAGCCTGTGTTAATGTATATAAAATAGACCAATCCCGGATATTAGAGAGATTTTCTCTGGTCCCAAATTAGAGCCTGTGTTAATGTATATAAAATAGACCAATCCCGGATATTAGAGAGATTTTCTCTGGTCCCAAATTAGAGCCTGTGTTAATGTATATAAAATAGACCAAACCCGGATATTAGAGAGATTTTCTCTGGTCCCAAATTAGAGCCTGTGTTAATGTATATAAAATAGACCAAACCCGGATATAAGAGAAACCCGGATATAAGAGAGATTTTCTCTGGTCCCAAATTAGAGCCTGTGTTAATGTATATAAAATAGACCAAACCCGGATATTAGAGAAACCCGGATATAAGAGAGATTTTCTCTGGTCCCAAATTAGAGCCTGTGTTAATGTATATAAAATAGAGAAACCCGGATATAAGAGAGATTTTCTCTGGTCCCAAATTAGAGCCTGTGTTAATGTATATAAAATAGACCAAACCCGGATATTAGAGAAACCCGGATATAAGAGAGATTTTCTCTGGTCCCAAATTAGAGCCTGTGTTAATGTATATAAAATAGACCAAACCCGGATATAAGAGAAACCCGGATATAAGAGACTTCTTCTCCGGTCCCGACAACTCTCTTATATCCGGGTTACACTGTATATAGATATTTATTTATTTTTGACCACTCTTCAAACAATATTTGATATCTGCTGGCTGCCGATCTAGTCAGCTTTTGTTCTCCACTCAGAAACTTAAAAACCCTTTCGCTGATTTCGTTTATCAACAAACCAAATCATAAAATTTATTGAAACAAAACAAGTTCAGTTGACCATTGATGACAATTGAGAAAGCATTACCTCGAACCATGGCCAGTGAGACATGCTGCAAGAGCCACTCCGTTTCGCGAGGCTTGTCCCTTAATTGAGACGCATCACTACAGAGAAGGACTTGGTCTCGGGCTGGTTAGAGACATTTAAAAAAAAAAAAAAAAAAAAAAAAATCGAGTTCACAAATTTGATGACATCTGGCCAGATTTCAAGGAGTTGTTCATATTTTTGTACATTTACTAGCAATCTAGAAAATAAAGGCTTATCAGAAAAACCTTTAATAGAAAGCCAAGCAATATAAAAGGGAAATGAGTTTTATTTCATCATTTTTTTTTTACCCTTACAACAAAAGCTAGAGATACAAGTCATTATTAGCTTGCAAACTTTAAAAAATAACATTCCAATTTTTTTCAAAGACACATCAAAAGGCACATTTTCTATCTTGTCTACATTTTTTTTTTTTTGGAGTTAAATTTAATTCTCAAACTTGTTACTTTTGGCAACAATTTAAAGACAAACGTAGTTTATACACATTGACAAGGAACAAAAGTATATTTTTTCAGTATGAACTTACCCACCGCTGAGATCAAAAGGACTTTTTACTTTGAAATTGACATGTGAATAACATTTCTTCAATTGTTTAAGTTTTAAAAAACACTGATAAATTTTTAGAAGTTCTACTAAAATGTATTTTATTACTGTGAAGTAACTTATTATTTTTTCAAGTACAAACTTAATGAGGGTGAATTAATTTAACTTTGATGGAGAGGTTTACTTCTCTCTGATACCAAAACAAGGTAAAATGTCCATATATATATATATCCAAAATGTATAACAAATGTTCAAAATATCCTCTGCTTGCTTCTACACATGCAAGCACCTGGCAGATCCTTTCAAATACTCCCCCCCACCAGTGTTGAATGGTTTCGCAAGCCCCTATGACACATTGATGAAGTCTCTCTGCATTATTAATGTCTACTGCATAAATCAATTGTTTTAGGTGGCCCCACGTAAAAATCCAATGGGTTGAAATCAGGGGAACATGCAGGCCATGGAACCGGTCCTCCCCTATCTATCCATCTTTCATGGTATACTTCAACCAGTGCATCATGAACAATGTGACTAAAATGTACTGGAGCCCCATCATGCATCTTCACATTAACAGGGGTACACCTTCTAGCAGGTCAGGAAATGTGTTGGTCAACTCCTGTAAGACATGTTGGGAGGTCATATGGACCTATCAGGCAGTCACCTACAATTCCAGCCCACACATTAATTGTAAAATGATGCTGGTGTTTAACCTGTATTGTACCATGTACACACACACGTATGAACATACTTTGAAACATGAACTCTTTACGTTCATGCACACACAAACATTAATGTTTTTGTCTTTTGTAACCCCCTTTTTGTTGTTTAATACATATACCTGTTTGTACATGTATATCAGTTTATTGTTTTTTTTTTCTGTTATATTTGCTTTTTGGTAGGCTCATTCTCTGAACCTGCCATGTTTTTGTAGTGGACTTTATTTCAGGAATTCCACACGTGTTCATATCACAATGTGTAAAAAAAAAAAAAAAAAAAAAAAACAAAAGGTCCGCTACAGATTACTTGTAATTGCATGCACAAGTCCTAGTATAAATAGGCGTCCTGGGTAAGACGTTAAACTACGTCCAGCAGAAGGCCTCTGATCAAGAGGTTTTGAGGAGTGTGGAATTGTTGGTGTAGCACCTGTTAGGGTCCCAGCTATGAGCAAATAGTTAACTATTACCAGCAACACTTTTTTGAAGAAAATTATTACCAGCAATACAATATTGAAGGAAATATATTACCAGAAACAGATTTTTGACAAAACAAAATATTACCAGCAATAAAAATTTGTCAGGATTAAATAATCCATTGAGGTTGATATGTCATTAAACAAAATGAACCAAACCAATCTAAACCAAAGAATACATACTCTATTCATACAAATCTATCCTAAAAATGTTGTCGGCATTAAATAATGAGCCATTGAGGTTGATATGCAGTTAAACAAAATAAACCAAACCAAATCAAACCCAGTATAAATAGTTATAAATAATTATTGACTGATTTTATCATTTTTGCATTATATCAAGTATTAAGAATATAGTAACTAGGGTCTGCAAATTGGAGGAGAGAGTTATCAATGATAATGTTCTGGCTTCAAATCAGTGGTTATCTCCCTTTAGCCTTCTTTCTGTTTTTATTTTAAAATTTACTTATCACATAAAATTTGGTGTGGTGTGAGCAAATTTTCATTCCAAAAATGTCGCCCAGAGAAAAATGTTTAGGAGTCACAGAGTTAGAATATACAATATTTACTGGGACATTTGTACTTACCAAAGGAGGACCTGCAAGGAAAATGGTTCCCTGTTTACGTACAATGACACTTTCATCAGCCATGGCAGGGACATAAGCCCCACCCGCCGTACAACTACCCAGTACAACAGCAACCTGTAAATATATAAGAAGAAAATTCATTTTTACTTTTTAGCAATTAAATTTCTGGATTTTATGGCATAGGAATAATGTAGGAATGTCTCAAGAGATTCTAAGGATTTAAATGACAAAAGGCATTAACCTTTTTAAGTCACTCATGATGATAAAGGAACATGAAATCCTTATACAGATGAATACTAGAAACACAAAGAGACACAAATACTAGAAAAAATGTAGACACATATGCACAAATATAGTAAACAAAAAAAAAAAAAAAAAAAAAAATGCAAATGTACAAATACTAGAAAAATGGGACACACATGTACATAAATACTATAAATACTAGGAAAACAGACACACACGAGAAGATAAACAGGCAAAAAGGAATAAAGAGGAATAAACACACACACACACACACACAGGGAATAAACACACACGCACACATACACACAGGGAATAAATGCACACACACACACAGGGAATAAATGCAACACACACACACACACAAACACACACACACACACACACGGAATAAATGCACACACACACACACACAGGAATAAATGCACACACACACACACACACAGGGAATAAATGCACACACACACACACACACAGGGAATAAATGCACACACACACACAGGGAATAAATGCACACACACACACACAGGGAATAAATGCACACACACACACACACAGGGAATAAATGCACACACACACACACACACGGGGAATAAATGCGCACACACACACACACACGGGGAAAATAAGATCTTCCAGAAAGATTTTTCATGTTTAAAAATCATTTTAAATGTTAGGTATCACAAATCTGTAATACTATCTCAATAGTAGTTTTTCTTATATTCTCTAACACCCAGTATCGCCTTGTGTCCTAGTGGCTTTATTGCCTTGCTTGGGGTGAAATGATTAAAGGAAAAAAAAAAAAAAAGAAAGAAAAGAAGTGATGTAATTGTATTAATAATGCTTGTCATGAAATTCCTGAAGAAAGGTATTGTCAGTGGTCAGGAATTAAGGCAAGTGTTATTAACAGTATAAGTCTATTATATGCATAATGTAAAGGTATTTTCCAGTATTTTTTTTTTTTTTTTAGTTCTTAGCAGTGTTTGTCTTTATACTATTTTTCTCAGTCCCTGTTCTGCCACACCCTTAAACAAGCTTGTTACATAGGTTACTTGCTGTTTCTCTGTCCCCTCCTGACTTCAATGTCCTGTGAGTGTGAAATTCTCTTAACCCTCTTTCCTCATTGTGTACTAGAAATTTGAGCTATCTCTTAAATATAAGAGGAGAAAGAGTAAAAGAAAAAGGTTTAACAGTGAAATTTAAAATGAAGGAAAGATTCGGTGCCTACTGTAGCGCAAAGGCTATCTTTCAGACCAGTTCACCCTAGTAATGATTTTGATCCTAACTGGGTGGCCCAGTACGATGGACTTGTGCCAGACTAGACACAAGCTTCTTTAAAATAGTGTAAAAAAAAAACAAAAAAAATAATAATAAACACTGACCTGAGGAATACCACGAGAAGACATATTAGCTTGGTTGAAGAAGATGCGTCCAAAATGGTCTCTGTCGGGAAAGACGTCAGCCTGACGGGGCAAGTTGGCCCCACCAGAATCGACTAAAAATAAA